CACAAAATAAAATTGTTTTCTATCATCTTAATTTTAGTTCGTTCATTATAAGCCCGTTATGTCGAACACATACTGTTCATCCGATTTATCATCAAGCCCAACTTTGTTTCTTTACTGTTCATCTGATTTCAAAGCCCACTCTTTGAAAATGGATCTGTTACTATTCATCGATCATTCTTATTTTCTTAGTCAGATGCTCTCGTTTGATGATCGATGTCTTGTTCTCATTCTCATCGTTAGCATCCAAATTGAGCCAAGAAAAATGAAGTCATTTTTATTTTCCTTATTCTTGATCGATTTCACCATGTGAATCAATTTGGAATCAAATTTGGAGATGCTCATCTGAAATCGATTGAAAATCTGAAATCACATTCAATTTTTTCTTGAGTTCTTGAGTCGCGTTTTAATCTCATCACTCTAAACGATCGATGAGTTTTCATTTTTGTGTTGTTCTTGTGAATCGGTTATGAGTTCTTCAATTTCATACCGATGAGGATCAAATTTTGACTTTGAATGACGATGACTGGTTTTGTGCTAATGTCGATGTTTTTTTTTGAGAAAACGATCGATGTTAGTATATTGAGGATCGATTGGTAGTCAATTTTGAATTAAAGGATCGATTATGCGAAGTATAAAGATTGAATGCGAAGGTATGTTGATCGATGATTGATAAATCGACTATGTAGCTGATTGATTTTGAATCAATAGTTTTGGAACGAAGTGAATGGATTTGAATTTCGTGAATCAATATGACGATTTCGTTTTTGATTGGGAATATGAAAATGAAGGCTGAACGAAGTGTGTTGTTGATTCGATTTGAGTCCTTACAATGAAAACAAAGGAAATATGATGAAATCGGTAACTGATAACAAAAGGAACGAACTGGGTGATGTCGAAAATTGACGATTGCAAAATTTGGAGTCTGGGTTAGATTTTTAATTTCGATTGTTGATGCGAATGTTTTTGATTACAAATTTTGGATTCACATTTGTCAGATTTTGAGTCTGGATTCGCATTTGTGTTCGGTTGTTGAGTCTGGATTTTGGATTCGATTTTTGAATCGACTTGGAATATGATGTTTGCAAGTCAAATTTTTGCAAGCTTGATGTTTGGGAACGAAGAACAGATGACGAAATATCAAGAAATGAAGGATATATGGGAATCGATGTTAATGATTGATTTGTTTGGTCTTGAGTTCGCATCTGGATCTTCATTGGATTCACATTTGATCTTGTTTGGGTTCACATCTAAAATGTTTGTTCAATTCGCATTTGTTTGAATGGAGTTTGAATTTGGTAATTTTGAGTTCGCATTTGGTTACAGAGATCACGTGAGTTCGCATTTTGTTCAATTTTGGAGTTAAGATGCGAAGTATTTTCTTATCCATGGTTTGCATATCTGGAAGTTGTTAATTCGCATTTGGTTCATTTGATTAATTGGGTGGAACATGCGAAGGAAGAGGTGTGAATGAAAATGCGAAATCTTTTACAGTTAAATGAGTGGGGAAGAAAGCAAAAAGTTTCAGATTTGACCCCTTATATTTTTGCGAAATGCCACAAGTAGTCCAACTTCGCATGTTTGGAGAACAAAAGGGAAGAAGATTCGAAAACAGTCCCTGGAGTTTCGCATTTTTGGATATAAATACCCAACTTCGCAAATGACAATAAAAGCTGAGAAATTACAAAATTTTCAGTTTTGGTCCTTGCAGTTTGCGCGAATTAACGCTTTATGCCTGGTTTCGCAAATGGGCTAAAGTTTTCGCATATTTGACTGTTTTTGGCGCAACGGGTCCCTGCAAGTTTCAGAAAGTGACCATTTGTACCTGGATTTTGAAAAATCTTGCAACTTTCACCCAAAAAGTCAAAAAAATTCATCAATTGAAAATTTTTGTGGCTTTTTCGTGTTTGTTTTTCCGTGCAAAATTTTTCATAAATTCAAAATTTTTGGTACACATCAAGGGGGAGTTTTGTGAAGACTATTCCTCGGGCGCTTCTCATCCTTAGTGGGTTTTATAATCATTTTTTAATTATAAAAAGGGGGAGAAATGATGGGTATTCGAAGCTTCTTGGGTTTGTCGAATATTCATTTGCGGATTTGAAGTCCGGTGTTACTTCGAGGGGGAGTTTGGTCTTGATCACGCTAGCTCGTTGGAGATTAAAGCCGGACATCCAATCCTAACTTTGAGGGGGAGAATGTTAGGGTGCAAAGTCATGCTTGGATGTAATGTGTTAGGCTTTCCTCTTTGTATGTGTAAATGGGTTGAGTCTTTTCCTATAAATAGGAAGTGAGTGACTCCTATTATGTAAGAATGTAAGAGTCCATTTTGGAGTGTTAGACTAGAGAGAGAAATTATATACAAACCCATTTGTATAATCTTTCTAGATCTAATAAGAGCTTACAAAGATTTATTTACTCCATGTGTTCTTGATTTTGTATGATGAATCACTAGATCTTTCTAACTCCGCACATGCCATCATAATCAACACCACTACAATATGGAAATGTTTCCATATTGAGAGTTGGATATTGAGATATGTCTAGATTAAAAAAGTTTATGCAAGAAGGATGTTCAAAGGAATGTACTTTGAATGTGAGACTTCACGTCTATGGAATTGTCTTGTAACAATTTCCGGTAGAGTACTTTGTAATTTCATTGGCCAAGTCTTGGTGACTTTTGTGCTATGACTTTGCGAAAGGATCGTTGCATAAAATGCTAGAATCTAGCATATTCTAGTAGTGGCAAGAACCTTGTGTTCTAACACTAATGATAAGGATTGGGAATTATGAAATGAGCATCATTGGAAAAGTTTTTCAATTGATCTATTTCACAAAGTAAGGACCATAGGAAACATAGTGTGCATGCTTTGTGCATGGGACATTTATTGTTGTAATTTGAGTAATAAGTTGATTTTCTGAAACAATAAACGATCAATAATGAGTAATCAATATGGTGTTTAAATAGAAGTGTTTTATTTACTCTCACAAGTTTGGGGCCATATAGGATTAAGTATTATTGTTGTGTTTCAGTTTACATGTTTTGACTTCCAGAATAACTGGTTTATTCGAACCTCCACAGTCGATCATACTCTAGAAGTAGGTATGAAGCAAGACTGTCATGAAAAGTCTGTAGATTGTCTAAAGAGTTTAGACATAACACAAGTTTGCTGTAGAGTTCATGAGTGCTTTAATAAGATTAGAGTATTGGATGAAACCCACGCTCACTTGGATCACTTCATGGATTTATCACGGGTGATTAGTGAGACGATAATATTGTATATTCTTGAAACGAGACGTGTGAGTTTTTATTTGCTGGTCGGTTGCACATTGATAATAAGTAAACACACCAGTAACTTGGTGTTATAAAACTTATTGTTGTGTGTGATTCGATGAGTGGGTACAAGCGAGCATTTGAGTCGAAGTTTATCTATTCCTTTTACCTAAAGTGGGATAAAAGCGATATCTGTGGGCCCCTCGATGATTTAGTGATGCCACCTAAGCGCTTGGCCAAGCCGAGACTAAGTTGATGTGTTCAATTGTAGTTTGTTTCCAGTCATCATAAATCGGAAGTCGAGAAACAATATAGAGAGAATGATTAAAATTCATGTCTTATGTCTATACGATATCTTGAGAATGGAGGAATATATGATCCCTTATCTAAAGGACACACGTATCTGATAAGATCAGAGTTGACAGCGACTTTTGAAAGCTACAATTGCTGATCAGGTTCTGAAGTTATACAAAATAGTTATTAGACTTATCCAAGTGGGAGACTGTTGGATTAGTGTCTAAGTCCATAACTATTTTGGTATGTACTTGACCCGATTATGAGCATAGTCCTTTTAGGTTGCCTTCACCATAGCAATATGTAGGATGAATTGATGAGAGATGTTTAATTATGATTTATTAATATATCATAAGAATAATATATTAAAGGAGAAATCATAATGTTTAATTAATATTAGTCAAGAATTAATTATGTGGCTAAAAGAGATTAATTAAACATAGGGGACTGGAATTGTAATTATAAGATAATTGCAATTGGGCTATGGATCACCTTGGAATAATAGGTTGGACGAATTCTATGGGGAAGCCCATTAGAAATCGTCCAAGGAATGTACGAGAAGGGGTTCATGGGTTGCTTAGGGCTTAAGCAGTCAAATTAAGGTTTCCTTGTTTGATAACCCTAATTGTCTACCTATTTAAGGAGCCCCAAGCCCCAAAAACGTGGTGAATGATTCCCTAAGGGTTTCTGGACGATTTTTTTGGTGCTCCCCTCTCTTTTCTATTCATCCAAGTTGCTTAGTGGTGTTTGTGACTCCATTAGAGGTGCAACACTTGAGGCACTAAGGTTTCTGAAGCTAAATAATTGATTGTTATTACTACATAACAATCAAGGTAAGATCAAAACCCTAATTCATATGTTAATTTGATTACTAGTATGCTAGATCTAGGGTTTGCAAGTTTTGGAAGTTTATTGCATGTTCAAAGTAGAAAAACTAGATCCAAGCAATTAGGGTTGCATGAACACCATAGGATTGATGTTATGCTCAAAACCAACAATACACATCTAAAAATAAATACTAAAAATCTTAAAAATATATATTCAAAATAATAAATACTAAAAATCTTAGGAGGGTAATAAAGTTTCCTGTTTGTCCATTTTAGGTCCCTACGTATTTTTTGTGCGTATTACACTATTAAGGTTATTCTAACCGTTTACAAATAATCCTTTTAACAGGAAGAAATTGGTAAAAGGATTATTTCTAAACGGTTATAACAACCTTAATGGTGTCATACACACAAAAAATACATTAGGAACCTAATATGGACAAACGGAAAACGTTATTACCCTCCTAAGTCATTATCCCATAAAAAAATGAAATTATAGTGGTTTTTTTCGTCTCACTTGCTTTTTATCTAAAAATAACATACAATATGACTTAATTATATATTAAAATAACAGACAATATGACGGATACAACCGTCACCTAAAAAATACTTTACGTTTCTCTCTTTTTCTCCCACGCGCGAGCACATTTATATTCTTCCACCGCCGCCGATGACCGCCATATGCCTGTAAAAATCCTTTCTACCATATATTCCGGATGAAACTTAATTTTCCAGACAAGCAACGTTCCCTTTGAGTTTCTACCATCAAAATCACGCACAGTTAGACTCTAAACCACAAATCGACTCGAAAATATGTCGGAAAAATTCTCGGCAACACTAAGCATCGACGACCTTAATGATTTCATCGCACCGTCACAGGGCTGTGTTGTTTCTATGAAGTCCGGTTCCGCTAGGCTCGTTGATAAGCCAAAGGTTTCTATCATCTCTACTTTCTGAACCCTAGCTTGTTTTATACTAATCATAACCCATGTTTTAGCTAATTGTTCAATTTTTAACGATGCTTTTGACTTGGTCGTGATTCTACTAGCTTCATCAGGAATGTGTTACAGCACTAGAACGTAGAATTCTCTGATTTTAGCTTAACTTTTGAAAGGAAAGGAGTAGCCTTGACATGCTTATTGTGAATTTAACTGCGCGTCTAAGTTCTAACCCTAGTTCGTTAGTTGTAGAACCATTAAGATTTGTTCTAGCCTTTAACTTGCTTCTAGATTTTGTTCGAATTGTAATTTATTTTTAACTAGAATATGACTCATCAAATACCTAATATATATATATATATATATATATATATATATATATATATATAATATATATATATATATATATATATATATATATATTATTTTTAACTAGAGCGAAATTCATTGTTGAGTGTTTACCTGTATTAAATCTAAGACCTCTCCAGTTGTCAAAACGGAATCTACCTCTGTAGTCATTTCACCGGATTCATCATGAAAAACAAAATCATCTCTTGAAGCCTCCAGCTTTTTATCATAACAAGGCATCACTGTCACATGATAAATCTCACTTGCCCTATACAATTAATGTACATAAACATCAAGTAAAAGCATAATACTCAATAATATAATTATTTCTTATTAAACCATTCTACTTAAAAATTTAATCTTGTAATTTCAAATTATTGCAAACTAATGACATACAATAAGAAAAGATGATCACCTAACGCCTAGCTTGTGGCATAGATGGTGCTTAATGATAGCTCCAATGGATTGTTGAGGACTCTTCACTGAAGAAATATATGGCAAAACATACGAACCAAGTGTTTTTTTCAGCATAGCATATCCACCCTGAAAGTATACAACAAAAAAGGCTTAAATCTTAAAAAGAAAAAAAAATGTATAGAAAGAGATGAAAGTAGGATGCTATAATACACAACCTGGACATGCAGAGGATATCATGGGTAGAAACGATCTAGAAGATTCCTTATCATCTGAATTGCTTTGTTTATAACGTGATATGAATTCGTTACAAGATTCAATAAGAGGCAAATCTCAACTACAACTTGTATCAAATACAGCTTTAACCCCCAAAGATTTGAAAAGTGTGGTCAGTTTCTTGAAAACCTGAAAGCAAGCCATTCACAAACAGATACTGAATTTTCATTTAGAAAAAAAGAGCATTTTTGAGAAAGTTATCTCTATCTCATTGCACATTGATTGATAAAGAAAGTGGAAGGGTGGTAATATAAAGGAATTTACCTGAAGTGGAGAAAGACCATAATGCACAGCAATGGAAGCCCTTGACTGAGGTGGAAGAGAGACAATAATAGTTTTACCATTGTTATATTGGATAAAAACTCATCCAAGCTTTGCTTCTCTAACATAACAGTCTCTGCAGAAGTAATACACCCACTACATGATTACAACAATGTTATTGTTACCAATTCAATTCATCGACACTTGATGTATAATGGATTCTAGGAGTTAGTGATCAGGAAGTGTTACCTGCATGCTAAGCAATCCTGAGTGATATTTTTATTGGATCTGTTTCAAGAGTTTCTTTAACAGGTGTTGTTTTTACCAGCTACTCTTCAAGAAAAAGCACTTGGTGAATAACAATAGTCATATGTGTAATAGAGCCTACTTGATATTCATGTCAAACCTAAACTTTTCTAATGCAAAATTGTTGTCAATTAAGTTAGAAGTTAAACACCTATACAATTCTATTTGTGATACTTTTTATAGTCTGGTTTGCAATTTGAAAGAGAAACATACACCTTTTGGATGTGATGATAAACTGAAAGAGGGCAACTTTCTGAATAAAATCACAGGATATTACTATTCTAGTGTGGTTACAACTTACAATTCCAACAAAATCTAGAAGCAAGTTAAAGGCTAGAACAATTGCTAATTGTACTACATCTAACGAGTTAGGGTTAGAACTTAGATGTGCAGTTAAATTCACAATAAAGCCTGGCAAAGCTACTCCTTTTCGTTCAAAAGTTAAGCTAAAATCAGAGAGTTCTACGTTCTAGTGCTCTAACACATTCCTGATGAAGCTAGTAGAATAACGACCAAGTCAAAAGCATCGATAAAAATTGAATAATTAGCTAAAACATGGGTTATGATTAGTATAAAACAAGCTAGGGTTCAGAAAGTAGAGATGATAGAAACCTTTGGCTTATCAACAAGCCCAGCGGAACCAGACTTCATAGAAACAACACAGCCCTGTGACGGTGCGATGAAATCATTAAGGTCGCCGATCCTTAGTGTGGCTGAGAATTTTTCCGACATATTTTCGAGTCGATTTGTGATTTAGAGTCAAACTGGGCGTGATTTTGATGGTAGAAATTGAAAGGGAATGTTGCTTGTCTGGGAAATTAGGTTTCGTCCGGAATATATGGTAGAAAGGATTTTTACGGGCATATGGCGGTCATCGGCGGCCGTGGAAGAATATAAATGTGCTCGCGCGTGGGAGAAAAGGAGAGAAACGTAAAGTATTTTAGGTGACTGTTGTCGTCATATTGTCTATTATCATACATACTTATAAAGCTAGCATTTTTTCTGAATCTCATGCATTTGAAACCCCCATAAAAATTTGCCAACACCCCATGCATTTGAAACTCCCACACCCTTTCACCTTCAAAGTAATTAATCACACATAATCTCATTCCAAGAAAATCACACACTCTATAAGTTCAACACCTCATGCATTTGAAACCCCCACATCATTTCACCTTCATTATATATGTAGTTATATATGTATATTTTTCTTACAAAAAGTCGTCATTTGGTTGAAGATATTATGATTCAAAAGTTTTCATATAGTTGAAGCATTCACGATCCAAATATGATGATTTGAAGAAATGGATTATGTCGCATCAATGGTAACTGTAATATGATTTTTTCTTTCAACCAAAACAAATGAAGCTTTTCTATTCTTTCTTTATATTTAATTTCTCATTTGATCTTTATATGTGATTTATATATATGACTCAATCTTGAATGTGACTCTCCAAAAATCAATGTTTTGCTTGGAATATCTTTCTCAATTTTTTTTTCAAGAAAAACATTTTGATTGCAGGTTAGTAAAGAATTGTCATCAAATTTCTATGGTTGAATGGTGTTAAATAAAGAAAGAAGATTCAGATATATGTGTTTTTTTGTTTGAGCAAAGTAGACGAATGTTAGATTTTTCTTTTGATTTAATCGTATATTTATGTAACATTTTTATTTATATATTCAACCACCCAATGTTCTTATTTATTTGATTGTAGTTTTTCTATTTTGATTATGTTTATTTTCTATTATTTTTTTGTTGGGTTATCTTACACAACATATTTACAAGATAATATTTAAAAGATAACATAATTTTTAACATTTGATATGTAATTGTGATGACTTACCATTATATGTTCTTCATATGAAAGTAATTTATCCATATTACTACGACAAGAATTACATATGAAATTTACGAAAATATATATTATATGTGATTTGTTTAACATATATATGCAACTATGTATGTTATAAATTTATAATTAAATATCATTATGTTTAATAATTAAAGGGATTAAAATGATGCATCAAAACCAATTATCTAGACAGATACAACAACAACAACAACAACAACAACAATAATAATAATAATAATAATAATAATAATAATAATAATAATAATAATAATAATTACACATTTCAAAGTACCGTATTCATTTGAAATTCACAGTACAACTCAAGGGTTTTCTAATTTATGTATATTTATTAGTTGCAACTCAAGAGTTCTTAACTTATGATTATTAATTAGTAATCACTAATAACTTTTATTTTTCTTTCTACTATAAGGTTGTAAAGTTTGGCTCATTAAAAACATTAATGTATTTGAAGAGATTTGTGATTTAAGTATGAAAAGTTAATATAAATGTTATAATAAATGTTTTAGTGTTTTTATGTTATTAAAAGTTGTAGTGTTTATTTTTCATATTTTTTATTATACGTTGTATATATATATCTTTTTTAATACAAATGTTATAATAGATGTTTTTGTATTTTTATGTTACTAAAAGTTGTATTTCTTATTTTTGTTCATACATTTTGTTACCCGTTATATATAGATTATCATACGTTTGATATATAATTTACACAGTTTTAAACGGCTTATAAAATTATCAAATAATTGTATATATTACAATGACTTTAAAATTAAAACTATAATCATCATCATATCATACTATATTATAAAGGAAACATTTTTTCTTTCACCACATTCATTTGAAACTCCAAACTTTTCATATTTTCATACAATATGCTTAAATTATTAACTTAAATATGCTTTTAGTTGCAAACATTATCATAAATGGAAGAATTTATGACTTATCAATATGATATACTTAATTTATTAATTTCAATATATAGTTAAATAAATAACCTACATTAATATATCAAATAAGCTTAAAAATTTAGTGTAAAATTTAAAACCTAAAGTAAAATATCAAAAAATGTTAAAAAAATTCAATATATGTTTTTTAAACATAGTTAAAAGGAAAACATTAAATATAATAATAATAAAAGAACCTAAATTGATGAATCGAATTAATTAAAAGGTATTTGAAAACTATATTCTAACAATATATTTTTAACCTGCGCCACGCAACGCGCGATAATTTGTCTAGTTTTAACATATAATTAAGTGATATCTAAATCAATTGAGAATGATTAAAAGGTCGACAATGTGAAAATAGATCAAGCCTTTCAAACATTAAGATCTAAGATTAATATCAACTCATTGTGTAATTTCTAGACAAAATTGCAAAAATGGTCCCTGTGGTATGCATTTTTTTGGAGCTTTAGTCCAAACCACGCCTTTTTTTTGGATTGGTGGTCCTTTTGACCTAGTTTCGTTGCATTTTTGGTCCCTCCGAATAATGAAATGACTGTAATACCCTTGGGGTATTTATTTTTCATTTTTATTTCATTTCTTTTTAAATCTAATACTATTTTATTTATTTTAATAATTAAAAAAATAAGAAGGGGCCCACCTCTCTCTCTCTCTCTCTCTCTCTCTCTGTATGTGTTCTACTATATGAAAAATATTTCCCTATTTCTTCATCTTCTAGATTCCAATCATCCACCAACACTGATGGAATGGCTACTCAAGCTTCCCTCTTTGCACTTGTAATCCCCAATCAAACCTCCCCATGGAAACAATCGCAACCCATCTCCTTCAACAAGGTCAAACCATCCAAACCCACCACCCGTTTCACCACCATCAAGGTTGCGGTGATAGTGGAGGTCCCCACCAAAGAAGCTCCGATGAGATTCATCCCACCTAAAATCGACCCCAACACCTCATCTCCAATCTTCATCGGAATACCCCATCAGAGTAGCTCCCTACGCCACTCCCAACTGCCATGGCAAAAAACCCACTACCACCATGTTTATTTTGTCGAGAACAGGAGACCCAAACACCCCTGATCCTTGCTCCTTCCTCCCCTCGTATCTTACGTATCGATTTCTTCCCCTTTACCGGCCACCGAAGCAGTCCCTGCAATAGCCCCTCTCAATTTCTCCCCTTTATTGACTCACCCTTTTCTCTTTTTTTCCTTCTCTTACGATTCCTCTGTCTCTCATTTATGTGTATTACCAATGAAATAGGTGTTTGTGTATAACCTGTATGTAAACGATGTTTCTGGATTGATTGTCGTTTAAATCAGGTGATATAATGGGTATAGCCCTGAGCAGTCGAATTGATTGTTGTTTATCTTCTCCTTTAACATCACTAATGTTTCTTTTCATCGTCGATTTTGATAGCCACTAAATCGAGTCTTCTCAACATCCGTAAGAAATCAGTGGACCTCGGCCCACTATCACCGGACCTGCACTCTGCTGCTGAATCGATGTCGAATATATACCTTGATCTTGTGTGTGTGTATGTGTGTTCATAGTGAAAGTGGGTGAAGATCTATAAGTTTGTGGATTAATCTAAGTTGCAGGAAAAAAGTAAGAATCAATTGTTTGAGAATTGAGGAATCGGAGAAATCGATTGTTTGCAAGAAAATTTTGGAATCTCTGATGTTGGAATTTGATGTTCAAATGGATTATGAACGAGGTTTGGATCTGCTGTAGGTTTACACAGGAGAGAGATAGAGATAGAGATAGAGAGAGAGATGTGGGCCCCAAATTAGTTAATTATTTTATTTTTCATTTAAATTAAATAGAAAAAGCATAAAAAATATATCAGAAGGGTATAATAGTCTTTTCAATTTACCGAGGGACCAAAAATGCAACAAAACTAGGTTAAAAGGACCACCAATCCGAAAAGTCGTGGTTTGGACTAAAACCTCAAAAAAAATGCATACCACAGGGACCTTTTTTGCAATTTTGTCTAATTTCTATAAGTCTAGGGATTAAACTGCAAATTGAAAATAGACTAAAAGGTTATTATGGTCATTATTTTTTATCCTATTTTTATCAAGTTCTTGGAATATCACTATATCACCTTCACGGTTCTCTCTCTCTCTCTCTCTCTCACTCACTCACTCACTCTCTCTCTCTCTCTCTCTCTATATATATATATATATATATACCGATTTCAAAGCTTTAAACACTAATATCTACTAGCCGCCACCACCATACGCTACCAGCACCATCATCAAATCCTTCATCTTTTTTCGTTCAGCAAATCTACAAAACCTGCAACTCGATTTTAAGACTTCCAAATCGATCTTCATTCGAACTTCTACAACTTGTTCTTTGTTTATCGACTTTCTTTGGAGATTCTACACCTACAAATCGATTTTAATCTAGAAAGAATTGATCTTGATTTTGCTTGAATGTGTTACTGTGAAGATAAAGGTTGATGATGGGGACTATGTCGATGGTGGTTACCTGGTGATTAAGGGTTGAGGTTGTCGTCTTGTCAAGATGATGGTGGTAGGTGATGATTAGAGCTTCTACTTTTTTCATAAAACTAGGGCTTCACCAAGTGCACGAGAAATCAGGAAGATGTATGTATGTGTGTGTGACAACCCGAAGTTCGTTTCATTAATTGTAACCCTTTTGTATTAATCCATTCGCCGTTTTCTTTTCGTTTCCGTTTACGTCATTTAATTAAGTCATTAATTTGAAATTATTAACATGACTTAATGGGTGTCCCAATGCCTTTAGAACTCATTTTAACACCCCATGTTAGTAATTGGAAAATTTTTAGAATCGACCATATCGGGTTACGGTAACTCTATCGGGTGCGACCAAAAGCACCGGTATCGGGTAGAATTCCGCTGTGTCCAAATGTTAGACATTATTTAAAGCAATTTAAGCTTCCATTTGAAGCTTTTGCCCTCTCTCTCACTACTCTCTCTCTAACCTCTCTCCTCAATCAAAGATTCAAGGTCCAAAACATTGATTTAAGGCTCCAAATCTTTGAGGTAACTCCCCTAACTTGTAGTTCAACCTCTTAGGCCTTCAAATGCGTGTTTAAACTTTGATTTTGGACCTCAAAAATGAGTTTACGGCCAAGGAGCATGCTTGGGCCGTAAAGACATAATAAGAGGGTTTTTATGCCCTTAAACCCCTCCAAACCAACTTTGGGACTTAGATACGACTATATGGCTTACCAATTCGGACCTAGAACACCCTAAACATGAATTTTGAGGAGAAAACTTGAGTTTACTTCCCAAGAACATGCTTGAGCCGTAAACTCCTCATTCATGGAGAGTAAACTCATTTTCATGTGTTAAAAAGCCATGTAAACACACATTTTGCCTTGGAATAAATCCTAGAACCAACCAAAATTAGTTTGGGGACCTTAAACATGATTAAATCCTTCTATTTAGAAGTTTATGGCCATAGCTCCCCAAGAAACAGTTCCAGGGCCGTAAACTCATTATTTCATGTTAAATGGTGCCCAAAAACTCATACCAAGGTTTGGAAAAATAGTTGGAATCACATGTGATTGTCCTAGCCTCATAAAATGAATTAAGGATTGAGCATGGGGGAGTTTATGGCCGTAAAATCCATGTTGACTGCCGTGAACTCCCATAAATGGTTCTTAAGTGAATATAATCCATCTCAAGGCCTTAGATAAATCCATTCCAACATTTCCCAAGTGCTATTTGAGCATTTAACACCATAAACCTTGTCAACATGAGTTCACGGCCGTGAACTCATGTGTGTGTAGTGTATAAGGCCGTAAACTCCATAAGGAGTTTACTCTTGAAGAGTAAACTCAATTCCCAAGTCCCACACATCCGTAGATGTCACCCGGGTCACTCCAAACACTTGTTTTGAAGTGTTTTCTCTCATTGGAGTGTATTATCTTGTCTAATTAGTAATTTAAAATCTAGTTAGATACATTTGGATATTATTTCATATTACATAGGAACCTCGCGTGTTATCAAGCCCCGAACCAACATTTAGCATCCAAACAGTCGCGTTTTCTCGTCTGGTGAGTTCATACCCCTACTCTTTTTCACTGTTTTCACTGTTTTCAGGGGGGGGGGATACAAGCAAAGTACAAGGGATTATTTGTACTCAAAAACTTGTTTTACATGTGTTTGTTTCATATCTCATATGCTTTTAACACTGATTATTATAACAGGTAACCGTTTGAAACTTGCAGGATAATCATATACATTATTTGTGAAATTAGTTATAAACTGTTATGTTTTATATATTTCACAAATGGTTTTCCATATTTTATCAGTTAAAAGCATGACATCTGAACTTGAAACATAAAAGTTAGTACACTGTTTATCCTCGGTAACACTCCATAGAGATACGCGAGTGGAGGATAATTGTATTATTACTAGTAAATTTGTTAATCCTATATAATTGGAGACACGTCCTCGGTGAACACTCCACAGAGATACGTGAGTGGAGGACCGCACACGTAACCAAAATCTCTTTGATAGGGAGCGTGACTTGAGTGTATAGATCTATACGGGGCTGGCTACCCCACACCTGGCTGCTAGCTACAGCCGAATCGAAATGGTTCAAGGGTGACGAAAGTCATAAGGTGATGTGGACTACTTATTGCCATATCTAGTCTATCATATGGTTATGGAACTCTCAGTTAGGATAACAGAGATTTACTTAATAGTAATAATTAATAAAATAATTAATTTACTTTGTAAATATTAGTTTTATATACATGTTAAAACTAATACATTTCACAAGGATAACCAGATTTCAGTATACATCTTTCACATTCGGTAACCAACATTCAGGAAAATATGGGATTTTCCTGGGGAACATTTGTACATAACCAGAAAAGTGTAACAAACTAGATAACTTTACATTTCACAAGGGTAAACATGTATTCAGTAAACATCCTTACATCACAATTTGGGATTTAATAACCAACTTTTAAGAAAATATGGGATTTTCTTGGTGTGTAACATTTTCAGAAAACAGAAAGGAACTTGTACATTTTTCATAAAACAAAACCGCTTATGAACTCACCAGCATTATGCTGATTTTCAAACTGCTTGTATTCTCAGGTCCGTATTAGACAGGTACCCGATGACTCCTTTTGGCGAAGATGGAGCGCGTTCAAGACACGTCTTACTTTTGTTTATATATACATATGTATAACAATGTACAACTTTAATTTTGAAACAAATGTAAACTTTTTATATATGTAATGTAATGGTTGTTTACTTTACTTACTATGCGCATTGGATTTGATACTCAATGTGGAGTCAACCCCGGAAATGTTTTCGCTTTCGGTTTTCAGGGTGTGATAGTGTGTGTGTGTGTGTGTGTGAGAGAGAGAGAGAGAGAGGGGTTTAGAGCCGACTACAAGGGTTCCAAAAGTTCTTCCTAATTTTGTGTTCTTGGATTCGAGCAAGCTAAATTCCATATTTTGTAAGTCTTTCCATCTTTTTTTTTTCAGTCATGAGTAGTCTTGCGGTCCCTTCTGATTTCCCGATGATCTAGGCCATAAAAATGAGTATATGCCTACTGGTAATTAATCGAAGGAGAGTTATGGCATAATTTTTTTTCCCTACTGTAATAACCTACAAATCAGATTGGAAGATGGATTTTCTTTCACATATGGTCCTTTAATCATTAATGATTACACTCAATAAACAAATTAATGTTATTGAGTTTTTCAAATAGATTTTGATTTAGTTAACTATATTTCTATTTATTTTGTATTTCAAATAATTTTTTTCTTGGATGGCTTCCATTATAGACGCAATCAGGAGAGGAGAAGGACATAACCCTAAATGGCATGTGATGTCCCCATAAGTGAGGATTGTTAGACTGGAGATGAGTATTGCAAGCAAAAGGTCAAACACAATTTCTTTTATATTTATCATCTACAAATATGCTTTCTTTAACAACCACTTCTTGGTTGGTAGTTGTATTCATTGGTGATTATATGTCTTATTTATTTAGGATTACCTTCAACACTATCGCATTTCTTGTACCAATGTATGGTTTTTACCAGAGATGTTTAATTTGATTTT